CTACTTCGGGTGTTGTTTTTAGTGTTAGAATTTTCTTTTGAGAGAAGTTAGGGTTTGACGGACATTTAGAAATTAGATGCCTTTTGACACTTTATTTTCACCCCTTCAGGAAGTGGCAGTGATCAGTCGACTCAAATAGGTTTGAAATAGAACCACAGTGGGTAAGTTGCGTATTTTAGTATTTTTTTATATTCTTGTCTTTAAATTTTCAATACAAAATAAAGTATTGCGGCTAGACTGCATCGTTAACAATTAAAAAAAATTATTTTGACTAGTGATATAAAGGTTAGAGGGGATTCTTTTGGGATCAGGTCAGGATATCGTCACTCAATCAAAGATCTTTGAGTGTTTAGTTTTTAATTTATTTCTCTATAATTTATATGTAAAAATCACCTATATAGTATTTCTTCTGCCGATCATGACCAGATCCTAAAGGGACTATATAGTGAATTATCGGGAATTTTATTTTTTTGCTTGAGATAAGATATATCATATATAAAATATCACAAAAATGGTAACCAATCAAAATCATTTATCTGATATATCTAGCAAGCAGGAAGTTATCAGATGCACAGAGAAATTAGCACAGATATTCGGATTAAATGAGCAAAATGCAAAAGTGTATAGTGCGTTTTCTGGCGAAAATAAAGTGCTAAAAAAACAGTTGGAAGAATATAATTCCTAACATAATATTTTAGAAAAGAGGGTAAAAAGATTGGAAAGAGATGTAAGATTCTTAAAAATTGAATTAGATAATTTGAATAAATATATAAATAGGAAAACTGTGATCGACTTAATTCATAAAATAGTTCTCTTGCTGATTAGTAAAAAAAGGCCAAAAGGTACTATAAATAAAAATTCCTCCTATTCATCTGACTTTTCTGAAGAATTTGATTTGGTTGAGATTAAGCAATGAAGAAAGATACGACCAAGAAAAGTTAAGCAGTTGGTAGTTTAAGATGATGAACTATGATTTCAATTAAAAGATATTCTAACCATATAAAAATGCACACAGTTAATTTATTAGAACAACTTTCATCTGAACTATTACCATTTATTCTAAAGTATCTTCCAAAATGTGATCCAAAAAATTTTTGCAATATAAATAATATATGGGAAAGAAAGGCGAATCTTGAATGGTCTAAAAGAATAAAATTTTATGCAGAATGATAATTCAATGCAATTATACGGTAAAAGAGTTTTATTCAAAACTAAAAGAGTATAATTTAAGCAAAAAATATCCTGAAGAATGGTTCAAATGGTTATTCCTCAATGGATTATTACCTGAATAAGATAAAAGTTCTTATAGATGGTTTATAAGCGCTTGTATTAGATAAAATAGTGGGAAGGTTTAGCAGTTACTGTTAGTGATCTACTAGTGGGTCTCTCAGGCTCAGCTAATTTTATTTTTCACTGATCAAAGATAAAATATAAAACATAAATATATTATGGAAATGGATAGCCTTCTCGAAGTAAGAGATACACTTAATTGGCTAGATTAAACACCCCCTCTAACTTCTCTGGCATTGAAATCTAAAAGAGACAAAGATAGTTCAACACTGATTTGAAATAACCAATTACTTAATGAATTATTAGGTCTGGACTTACGTAAAGTAGAAATAAAAAAAGGTTTCTTTAGAAGCTTCAATCAAAAAACAGATCAAATTTGCCTATGAGAAACCTTCAGATTCTTTGAATAGGTTATATGAAATTTTAGTTTAATTGGATGTTTCACTTTATCTGAAATTGCAGATACTGACTGGTTAATTTATTTTTTGATTAAAGATACAACATATTATCTATGATATTATTATACAAGAACTGTTAGAACAAATTTTATATTTCTTAGCAATAGATAAATCCCTCTATCCTACTCTATTTGTTTGTCAGATGTGATACAGATGTACTATTTCTAGCTTATGAAAATACATTGAGCTAAAAGGAAATGACTTAAGATATAGGCATCATTTTCCAGATGGATATATTTATTATAAAAGGGATCATTCTTGATGGGAAAGATTTGTAAAAATAATTTGCGAAAAGCATAAGTCAGCTTATGTCTCAAATACAACTCATCTAGATATTACTTTTTATCATTCACTTTCAGATAAAAAAATAAAAAGTATTGTGAATACATTTCTGAATATAACTCATTTAGATTTTAAAGAAAGTATAGATTTTCATTATAAATCACTATTTATAATAGTGAAATTATATTCTAATTTGAGATATATTAATTTATGGGATGCTCAAATAACTGATAAAGATTTATATGCAATTGCATAATCATGTTATAAATTAGAATATTTAAATATTTCTTACTGCAGAAATATTAGTAATAAATCTTTGTTTGAAATCACAGAAAGTTGTCATGTATTGCAAGAGTTTCATTTTTCTAAAGCATATTAGATTACAGATAAATCTATAAGTTGCATTTTTATCCCATGTCCAAATTTAGTAAGTCTTGATATTGTATTTAGTCGTGAGAAAATCGAGAATGCTAGTATGTTAAAACAAAGATACCTTAATATCAAGTATCTTGATTTTAGTAGTGTTATGGGTTTTAGAAAGAATGAATTTATTGAAGCTATCATCAAAGCATCTCCGAATTTAAAATATTGAAAGCTCAGTACCTTATAAATAATATGTATAAGGAAAGTACAGTCAGACCTCTATATACCGATATTCTATATACTGATATACTATTAAAACTTTATATACTGATAAAATTTTATTTACCCACTATACTTGAGGTCATATAAATATCGGTATAATTTGATATAACGATATTTTTAAAAA